AAATACATACCACTGGTATTAGCATTGCCATTAACCTCCATGGTGGATTGGTCACCATAGCCTTTCTGCACGCTCATCATCAGCTCAAGAAAATCATTATACTTGACACCATCACCGGCCGCCTCCCGAGCCCTCCTGTCCCGCATGATCTGTCGCGTCATATCAAAGAAAAACTTGTGGGCGGACTCGTCCACCACCGCCGGCATAACCCGTCTCAATACAAACGTTGGCAACAGTATAGACAACAGGAGTCGCATCGGGTTTGGGCTAAACACACGGTTAGCGTTGGCCACAAACGGGTTGTCCAGGGGTTGCCTCCATGTGTCGGCTTTGGTGCCAAAAGCACTCGTCGCTATCACATCCATAGTAAGACTACCATAGAGTAACTTTATGTCTATCTCCCGGCCGGCGCTGGCGTACGGGTCCAGCGTTTGTGTCAATTGTGTCAAACAGTCGGCCATTTGGCCAAACATTTGCCGCATACGACTGGTGCTGAAGGCCGGACTGAATAGTGAGCGCACCCGACGCCAGGCCGGCCCGTTGCTCGCCACCAGACTCTGGGACAGTATGGGATGTGCCGGCGCCTGCAGTATGGGGTCCGTCACGTTATCCCGAAATACGTGCGAATCGGTGGCCACTATGGCTTTGATGAGCGCCGCGTCCGCCACTGTCAGTATGGGTTTGTTGGCCTCGTATATGCTATGATTGCAAATGATATTAGGTATTAATGATCATGGTGGTTACTTATAGATTTTAACTCTGTGTTTTACTAATACCCATAGACTTTGCCGTATTTCTCAACCCATTGTTTCTCTAACACTACCGGTTCGGTGAGGAATGGACTCAATGTATTGCCAAAGCCGGGCACCGGCTTCGGCCCATTCACACCACGTTTGGCCCAATAGTTATGGTTACGAGTGAAATAGCTTAAGGTTAAAATAAATTAATTTTACATTTATAATTGCTGCTAATTAACTATGGACTTACCGGTATAATAAACACAATGCAAATACTATTGTGTATAGTGACCACAAAACTATAGCCATTTTTATGATTGTTTGGCAAATTAATTACAAAGTTATAATTAATTAATTAAAACATAAACTCATGAGCACATGATGATGGGTTAAATAGTTGGCAAATTAAATCTTGATAACAACTCTATGAATTATTGATTATTAGTGATGTTGTGAAGGCTAAAATAATTATTGATTTTGTAACAGTTTACAGCATACGCTCACTATAATCAACTCACAACTAGGTATGTATTTTTTATAATGATTTATAAATTATATTTACAGAAGTATTTGTTATATATTTAATTATAATTTATTTAAAAGCATGTATTAAAATAGTTTTATTTAATTAGTAATGCAACTTTATTTATAAATTTGTTAATTTGTATGTTAAAACTTGCAGTATTTTTTCACGAAGTTTATCATGCCGCTGGAAAACTTGATGGTACAAAATATACTTAAATATAAACTACTGTTGCCAGCTTTACCAAGAAAAAATCTACTAGAAATAGTATAAATATAAATGGACTAGATTATTAAGACCTATTTTGCAAAATAAACCCATATGTAGATACGTATCAATATATAGTGGATAATAATGAAAAATAATTAAATTATATTGATAGAATGCATTATTTTTTTCTATTTAAATAGAAAAAATGTTACAAAAAATAAATTGTGTTGACACCACTAGACTAACATTACTTTTATCTCTCTAATTGGGAATAAATTATGATATAGTTTATGTTGTGTACTTAATATTTAATTCATATCAAACATGCTTAATATACATTTCTAATTAAAAATTTAATAAAATTTGTATTTTTTTAAATTTTTAACAATTATTTATATTTATTAATAAAACAATAGCATAATGTTTATTACTTTAGTAATTTATCACATTTAGATTTTATAACAAATTATACCCTAATTAACATTTATATTGGTAAATTACTTTGTATGAAACACAATATACATGAAATAGTAAATTGTAAAATCACTCATGTTTGTGTCTTTTGGCAAGTGAAGTACCATTCCATGTGTTCCATTCTATCGCAAAGCCCAGAGCAACAGTCCTTCTTATCTTTTTTGCAGGGATGGCCATTAGGTTTGCAGTTGTCATGGTCCGGGTCCAGACAGTATTTTTGTTTTTTATTGTCTGGTATGCGATATTTACCGATTCCACAGTCACGCGACGCACATGTCTTATCATATGTGCAGGGAGTTCCGGCCTCTGCTTCGAAAGCCGTACCATCTGCCTCACTGTACGTGACCATGTACGCGCCAACCATTAACATAACCATTAATAAGCCGCCGTGTTTACCAAGCGAACACATTTTTGTTACGATAGTTAAAATTGTTCAAACTAATTAATATCTGTCGAACATTTAGTTAGAAAATGTCTGCTCTCGCAAATATGTTTTTATAATTAAATTAATTAATTAGCAAATAATGTTACTTATATTAAGATGAAAATGTGATTATTAATAGTAAAGGCGCGATATTATGCTATTTAAATATATCGAGAATATATTTAAATAAAATATAATTGATTATGCGCACAAATAATTATTGGAAACATCAAAATAATTTATTAGACAACAAATAAAAATAAAATCATTAACCGGTATTGACTCAATTACATTGCAAAAATTATAACAATTTTCAAACAATAAATACTTCAAATTTTATTATTCATTGTAAATAAATAGTAACATATCAAAAAATAACCTTACACCCTTTTCTCGACACCTAATACCATACGTTGCGGCGAGTGATGGAATAAACTGGACACCAAACACACGGGTATATCAGTGTTATCAGTGGTGTAAAACCGGTACCGGCGCACCAGTTTGGCCAGGGTCGTTTTGATTTCAAGCAGGGAATAGCGTTTTGCCAAACAAACACGATTGCCTTCGCTAAACGGTATGTACGCGTAGGGCTTAGGACTATTACTATGTTCATTTTTATTCAAAAATCTACCCGGATCAAACTGCTGGTAATTGGGGTAATATGGTTCGTAGTGATGCATCGCGTGGACGGGTATGTCTACGGTGTGGCCCTTTTCAATGGTGATGCCGGTGTCGCCCAACCGGTAGTCTCTATCAGCCATTCGCCGGATACGTATGGATACGGTGTGGAGACGTAATGATTCGGACACAACGGCCTCCAAAAAGGGTAGTTTATTGAGCGCATCCATCCCTATGTGTCCGTCCGGTGCGACGGCGGCCGCGATCTCCTCGTATAGGGTCTGTTGTATGCGTTGATTGCGGGCCAACTCGTATGTGGCGAACGATAGCGCCGACGACACTATTTTACAACCGCTGTTAAAAAATACCCAACTGTTGGCCAGAATCTCGTTTTCCGTAATATAGTTAGCATCCGATGACTTACTCTCTAGTATTTTAATAATTATTACTTATTTTAATAATTTTAAAAAATATTTAAAGTATGTCGATTATCTATATCCTATTATTTTATAGTAAGTTATTATGATATATTTACCAGCATTAGTTTCATTCAACTTGTGCCGCAATACTATGTCCATAAAATCGTTGTAATTACGCCCACTATTAAGCCTAGAATTCATTATACTTCGAGTCCAACGAAAGAAAAACTCATTGGCTGTCTCGAGCACCGGGTGTTTTAGGCCGATGGCCACTAATAGCCAACGGGGCAATAGTACCGAACCCAACATACGGAGCCAATTGGCAGCGAATACAACGTTAACATTGCGAACAAACTCATTGCGGTGGCCGTCGGGCGCCCATACGTTAACATCGAGACCAAACGCGCTGATGGTTATGATATCCATTGCCAGCCTATCGTACATAAGCACCATTTCCACCTGGGTACAATTACCGGCGCTCGCGCTAACCCTACTGTTCAACTCTTTGGCCATATTGTCCAGCGATCGGTTCATATGGGCGTAAATCACTTGCATTCGTGAGGGCGAGAAAGTGGGCGACACAACGCCGTGCACTCGACGCCATCCCCGGCCACCCATTGCCGCCAAGTTTTGCGATAGTATTGGATGCGCTTTCGACCGAAACAGTGGGTTTGACTCTTTGGCCGCATTAAACACATCGATATCTGTGATCAGAATATTGCGGATCAGCTCCGGATCGGCGACCGTCAACACCGGGCGATTGCCCTCGAAGTATCTGCAATTAATTTTTAACCACAATTCAACTATGAATAATGTGATTCATAAGATCGTTCTGATTATACAATATAAGATATAATGTACTAATATTTAATGCAATTACATATTGATAATTACCCATATATGGGCCCATATTTATGAATCCACTCGATTTCTAAACTAGTGGTTTGTTTGAGAAATCTATGCAAAGTATTGCCAAAACCAACGATAGGTTTCGGTCCACTAATACCACGTTTAGACCAATAATCAAAGTTTCGTGTAAAATATCTATAAATATCATATAAAGGTAAATAAGTTTAGCTACCACATAATATTATGTATATTAAATGGCCTATTTGTATATTAAATAAAATATTCAATCAATTGTATATAAACTTTATAGAAACAATATCTATGTAAATTCAGTTTTAGCATCAATCTTACCTGTATAATAGACAAAAACAGGCAAAGCAAGTAAATATTATCAAGATCATATTTTGATCAAAGATAAAAGTTCATAAAAGTATTTGAAGTATAATTTTTAGTGGTTTTTAATTAGTATAGAATAGAAATGCAATTTGCAATACTTATATAATATAAATTTCAAATTAATTATATTATTACTTAATCCAAGAATTTACGTTAACAAATTCACTTTAATATATTTTTACTAATAATTCAGCATGACTATTTAGTCTCATTAATGAGATCAATGCATAATTATTGTATACAACATTATTATTTAATTTACACAAAATTAATGTTAATAATTATTAATGTTCAGTGTAAATCTACTTGATAATTCTGACAGTAATAACTAAAGCTGTTCAGAATATGTTTTTAAACAAGGTGGCGGTCAATTAATTCCTGGGATACGGTTTTCATTATTTCTTTTAAACTAAAATTGTATACCACGTGGCCAAAATTAATTGACCAGCTCTGAAAAAGATTGTCCATATAATTCTTTATTGAATTCTGTTTACAGAATCTAATTAGCTCTTGTAGTTTAAGAGATATAATAAAAACCGCATACCTGGAATTAATTGACCGCCACCTTGTTTAAAAACATATTCTGAACAGCTTTAGTAATAACACATGTGCACAGTTGACGAAAATATAATTGTTTTATTTAAGTTGATATATCAATAATTTTCATGAATGTCAAACCTATCATCGATAATATCTGCAAATTAACAATTTAATTGATTTAACAATTATTTTTTAATAATAATTCAAACCATACCTCAAAACCTCGCATATAATTGATAGCAAATAGTGTCAAACAATGAAATCCAACCCTTTTTAATCCATTTCTCTCAATCAATAGCAATAACTATTAGGAATATATCTTATTATTTATAAAGTTACATAATTAAATAATCTAATTAAGTTAAAACTTACTCTGAGTTTGATGTTTGGGGTATATCTCTGAGTTAATGATCGATACAATGAATTTAATAATACATAAGACTTATTGACTTCGACATAGATTTGAGACGAGATATAAATAATAAATATAAGTATTGATGAATAAATGACAAACAGATTAAACAAAAACATTTTAAATATAATATTAATATTTGAATAAATAATCAGAAAAAGTACGACAGATATGAGAGAACTGAATGCGAACCAAATTATAGCTAAAAATTTTGACCAATAATTACTGTCGTATTCATTGATATCATTATATATTGTATTAAAACTTGTAATAATTGTGGATAATTTTGAATTATATAATATTTTTCTTTGTTTTAGGATTAATACTAATTCATTATTAATTGAATTCACTTTTAAAGTTAGATAATATGTGATTAAATAATAGTATATGAATTGCCAAACAATTATATTATAAATATAATAACAACTTATTGTCCATAAGAATGTGTTGGGAATTGCTATCAATAATAATTGAATGAGTGTTACATTTGGCAAAAATGATGATAATATTATTAAATACACTGAAAGTGACATAGACGTTATTAAAAATTTGTAAATTTTAAAACACAATTTTGTTTTTTGAATCAATTGATAGATGAGTTGTTCGTCTGAAATACCAATACTTTGAGGCGTTATATAACCCGAAAGCATATGAAATACACGCAAATCCGTTGGTTTTATATCGTGTTTATAGTTATAGTAATTCACAAATTGGGATAATATAGGGATTGATGTCA